TTTTTTCTTTTTCTACAGGTACCACTTATCTGCATTACACTATACCAGCTTCGAAAGTAGCAGCTGATCCGGAAAGTTTGCCCAAGTCGGCAGCCAGGGGCCCACAGAGCGGCTCGTAAAGCGTTGTCTGTTGTCGAAGCATACGTAGGCGAACAGTACGCTCACGGTGCAAGAACCTGGACCAAATTGGCATCAACCGCAAGTTCTGTGACCTGAAGTGACCTGACCTGGAATGCATATAACAGATACTGCGCCGTCTCCCTTTCCCCGCTATCTTCCAGATATCACTCCCTCGTGGAGAGTCGGAAGAAGNGGAAGAAGCTGTACACTCGCAGGCGAGTCGGTCCACAGACGGAACCCTCCATTACCAGGACACCCGACAGGCGAAGGCTTCTCTACGTCATGTGATTTGAATTTGAATTTTACCTGACCTTGAAGTTCTAAGCGGTCTAATTCGAATGAGTTTCAAGGTCGATCCGCTCACCTGATTTTTCCCGTTTTCGGTGGTCCGCGTTTGTTACTGTAGTGCCCTTTGATTATTTATTTATTTATGGCTGTCGGAAAACATATCGTTTTATGTAAAGCGTTTTTGCTGTGGGGAAACACGACTAAGTATTCCATTCAAGGAACAATCAGTAAATTGCAACCGTAATTGATGCAAACGAAATAATTTACTGCTTCCCCTTCACTCACTCGTGTAGTAATTCAACACATCGAAATTTTCCTTGGATAGGCGGTGTTTCTTCACTATATAAATAATGTGTTAAGCTTTATTTTTGCTGACTCGGAGTATCAATTCAGTTGCCGGAGCCTTTTATATCCTACACAATCTTTGCATCCCCTAGCTAAAAATTGCGGTATTTTGTGGCCAGTAATAAATGAGAGGGTATTTTTGCTAGTTTCTTAGCTTCCATATTGTCGTGTCGACATCATAGATCCTATAATCTGGAATTCAAATCGAATGTCGTTCCGATCTCTGTTCTTTGTCGTTTAATGTATGATATTTGAATGTGCACGCGAGTTAACATAGGGTCAGGTAAATCCTCACTGCCAAAACGCCTTTCATGTAACAAAATCAATTTGACTTTTGTGCATCACTTACCTTGAAAGAAAACAGCAATTATCGGCCCTTATGCAGTATGTCGACTGGATGATTTCATTACTATGAAAGTGTTGAGTAAGTAATTCTCATTCAAGGTCCAATGGGTATTAGTTCGCTCCAGAGGTGGAGAAATCCATAGAGCCATTAGAACATGATGCTTGGCAACAAATACTGAAAATTTTCAGATTTAATAAACTGCATAAGTAAGGGTTTAGGGTCTGTTACACAATTCTCCGTCTTCTATTGTATATTTTGTTCTTGAAGCACTTTTGGGTAAGCCTTACTCAACGCCATCCAATGTTGAAGCAAGGCTTTAATCTCGCTGATGATCCAAAGGCAGTCAGTTTCTCTAGCGGAGTTGGACAGCCGTATTGGGTTCAAAGCCTACTGATGGTCATCGGCTGGACGTTTCGGGAATCTGCACGTGTGGACCCCGATCGAAGGATGCAAAATCCATTTGAATAAACCATTCCCAAATGGACTGCCGTCTAACACCATCTCTCTACCTTGGAAATCAGAATTTGACCCACTGAAACGCCACTAAGAATCCCATGATTTGGCAGTATTCCATCTGTAGCAAAGCCGTATCCATATCATTATTCTGGCATATCCCAATCAATATAAAAGGACGAGTGTTGTGCAATGGTTTGTTTTGCGCAATCTAAACTAAAATAGTACGAAACATTTTTTATCCTGTAGCAACTTACTCTCATTTGCGACCCGAACCGACTCCCTATATTTCTGTGGTCCACCTCATGATACCTTTTAAAATAAAACGAGCTTTTTGGGGGTCAGCGTTAACTTTCAATGATTCAAATATTCAGTAATGTATACGCGTTCAGTCGGGTCAGACTGTGCCGAGGTGTTTCTCAATCCTGCAGTCAAATGTGACCTTGTATTTTATCTAACCGCTAAGATTTACGTAGCCTTCGGGAAAGTTCCCAGATTTAGGGAGCTAGATGTATGTTAAACTTTGAAGTCAGAGGTTTTCACATTTCTGCGTAAGCCTATTCTCTCGCAAAATGAGTTGCTGAGTTTCATCCACCAGGGCTATGTTCAATATACGACCTTTTTTATTACACATCTAGGTGTGATGAACAGCAGACGGGGCGGACCCCATAGTCGAGAGGATCTGCTGTTCAGTGATTGAAATCGGCAACCTAAGCCCCGGGACTTGGAGTGGCGAACTACATAAGGCCCCGATAGGTTAGGCGTGGTATTGATCTAGACTGATAATAGTTAATTTATTCGACGCACGGAGCCGTGTAAACTGAACCTGAATGACTTACAGCAGAATCTCCAAGAGAATTGTGGATCACCTTGTGCAGTCTGTTTGCTCTGGATTGTTGCGTTACACTGTATGAGAAATCACCAAACCATCACTGTCGTTTGGGCGACCAGGTAGCATATTAAAAACGAGGATCCTTGTATTATCCTTCGTTTAGTACTGTCCAGATATATCTGTTTCTTTACAATGAGTTGTCTATGAATGACTCAACAAAATTTCTCTGGAAACATAACCGGATTCGCGGTTCTTGTCTCTCGTCAGGTGTGCCTATTTCGTGATCTTTTATCAGTTCATCCGTATGCTTGTACCCATGAAGTATATATATAATGTTCTTCTGAGATTCCCACCACATGAAAGTTTACTGGCATGGTTTCTTACAAGGATGCTTGACCATTTTCTGTCGATTAAATTTGTTTTCAGGCCTTTTGATCAATACCCGTTGTTCGATGTACAAAGTTGTTTTGTATCCTCAAAAATGTCTGTCGTGGGAACCCTTAGTGCGGACACGAGTCGTTTTGTCGATCGTGTTCTAGTTTCGCGCAAATCAAACAGCGGCAAATCTTCAATGACCAACAATCACAACAATGGCTCTGTTGGTGTTGCTACCTCTTCCACTGCATCGTCCTACACGACAACCAGTTCGTCCCCACCGCAAACTGGTAACAGTGCCACATCGTTACACGTGAGCAGTCATACGTTGGACAAGGTGAAAGTGGCCAAAATCACTTTGGAACATTATTATCATAACTTGGTACAACAATATAGAGAGCGACAGAATAGGTGCGTATTCATTTATTTTACAATCGTTTTACAACATTTGATATTTCGTCACTTGATCTTAACTGACTTCGTTTTATCCACGAAAAAGTTGTTAAACACGTTTTACTCCGATTTAGAATTTCGTAGTCGATTGTGACCGTTTATTTCTTCCTTACGGTGTTTACCGTACCGAAAAGTCAATATATTCCAGCTAATGAAGAATCTGACCTACCTTAAATATTCACTGTAATCAAGACAAAATAAAGAAAACATCACAATAGCGATAACTACAGAATTTTTGTCAGTTAAAAGTCCATCATCGTGCGGTAGTCAAAAGATTGCAACCAATACCGGCGCACCATAGTGCATGGTTAGTGTTTGTAGGAGATGAAACTGATCATCGTGCGACAAAATACAGTAAGGTGGACTTCACAGATCTCTGCCAGGTTCACACTATGCAAGTACTAATGTGTAAGCGACTGGGAAATTGGTCTATTTTGAGGTGGAGATAAAGAAAGTGAACCCTTGAGGTCAACACAGCTCACATCCTAACTGTGCGTACATAGCTTTATCGGGCATTCTAGCGTGATAAGAAATGACATCATAAACACCATTGCTTCCGGTTCGCTGCCAGGTTCTTTAGTTTATTCAACCAACCAGTTACTGCATCTTTCGGACCCCAACCTCTAACACGGGGACAGCCAATCCAATTACTCGTTCTGCGCATTTCTCCATTCCATTTGTTGACCCCAACGATATTCTCCATCCTAGAGTTGCAGGGCGGTGTTACAGAAGGTTGCAACAACAAACGAATCTTACTGATCATTTTCTACCGGAATACACCCAAATACACTTCTTTTCTTGGTGTTACTTGTCCGGTCGCTTCATCCGACTCGCACTAAACTTAGCAAATATCGTCGGTCAAAGACTTCCATTAGATGAATGTCTTCTACACTCAACCTCAAGATCTCATAATCGTAAAACATGACTGATTGAACGGCCATAAGATATACTCAGCCTTTTAACACATGTCTCAATGCTGCTTATTCAGCTTGAGCCTTGAATATACATGCTACTTCCTTCGCTGATTTACTTTCATGAGTGACACAAGCAGCTGAATAAGGAAAACAATCACTTGCAGTCAGCCTCTACCCCATCTATTTCAACGCAGGGAAAATCAACACCCAGCCTTGCGGCATCAATTTGCACTTCCAAGGTGATGAGCACATACCAAATGCAGCAACAGGACTTGTAAAACTGTCTAGTGACTTTTGTGCATCCTCCGTACAGCCAATCAGATAGGTGTAATTCAGTGTATTTCAAATTGCACTGCCTTTATTCAGTTATCCTTTCAATGCTAAGACAAGACGTCTGACCCCGTCCGAAGGGCGTATGATTCGATGAACTGTACACCGGTCCCCAATGGATAGCAGTTTTCCTACACTGCCCTGCTGCCAGGCAGATTTGGCTTTGGTTGGCCGAATGCGCCGGCTGTTTATTCCCCAAAAACTCTACCTGCTTCGGTCTGGGCAACTTGGGAATATTTCGCCTCTGAGCAAATCATGGACCCATTTTATAAATATTATTTACCGTGATTTGTTTCACACACAGTGTGGCCTCACATTTGTGTGAAATAGAAAAAAAAGTAAAAATCTGGTAGTACAATTAACTGAAGTTCCCGGTAAAATGTGAATTTCTGGATGGTACGATGGTAAGATGGAGGTTTAGGGAAGTAAAAATGTGTGAAAGTTGTAGCATTCTTAGCAATGATTAATTGTTATGGAATCTTGAGCTTACAGGTTGAAGGGATTTTATAGTTGAGTCCGCTGTGGGATGTTGTACTACCCCGTCGCTCTGTCGAAGATACTCCCTGTTCGAGGATGCATTCTGGCCTTTGCGCAACCAAGCGCGAACTGCAAGACAGCAGCGCTATTCCGATTAACTGGCGATCAGTTGTACAGTTCATTCAACTCTTTTGAAGAACCTCGTCCGGTAAATCGACCTTGATAATGGCAATGTTCAGTGGTGGCCGCATTCGCCACGTGGTAGCGCTATTCACAAGTAATGTTTTGTGCGGCGTACCCTGATCAAGTAAACCTACCATCCTCGAGCACTGCTGCTGATCGTACTCTACCGCTTATTCAGTGTGCCTAAGTCCGCCTTATTTACGATTAACCGTTAATTGGCGACCGTTCCTCTATCCTTGACCTAAGGAAACACCTGATAACGTTGAACTCTGCTCTTCCGGGGAGAAAACATGCCATATCAGAGGTTTCAATAGACTAAGTACTACGGATTTCCGAAGTCGTTCGGTGATCCCTTTTTGAGAAATACCTGTATTAGGTAGACTTTTGAGGGCATATAGTTTGTAACCTCACTGCGCAAACTCAATTCATTCGTTCAACGACTAACTGGTGATTTTTGGACATTTGAATAAATGATGAGTTTGATCGTTATTACGACCATCGACAGTCCTTCAAGGCTGTTTGCGGCTTTTATGTTCGATTACCAGACGATCACACCCTTCGTTAGGAAATGCCCATTGAGTATGTTTGGTCAGCAAATGTTCGGATTTTCCCGTAGAACTTCGTAGTAAGGAGGTGTAACCGATGTAGTCAAACGGTAATACGGCTTGTTTNNNNCTGATTCCTAGGGTTTTGGTAGCGATGGTTTCCACCATCAGTTCACCGCTTATTAAAGTGAAAGTGCACACTTCACTATTGTTGAATCCTGAAACAAATAAACTGCGAAATGACTTTGGCCAGTCGAAGGCTCCGGTTGCAAATTCTTCAAGAAAGTTCACCTGCAGTGACCTGGGCAGCTGGGCAGTTTTCATCCCACATGCACATCGTGGAACGTTTTTCTCTTTCATAACGATTATCGTACCATGATTCGTTTGGCACAGTCTGTGAAATATATAACATATATCATCGGGTTCAGCCCTGTGTTTCTGTCACCGTGGAGCAGCGCTATTCTCTGAACAGCCGTTTATTCACTCGTTGGATTGCGTTAGAACTAACCCAGGAAATGAATAACACTATTTTTGCTTGGGTTGTTGTCATCAACCCTGTTCTCGACAGTTTTAATACATTAATACATTAATGATCGAAATCCTCACACAAGCCATATGCACTGTGATAGCTTAACTAACGTTCCTATGCGCGTCACTATACTTGACCTTGTGCATCATAAATCTTCTGATTGCATCTTCTAACTTTTACGTTTTATTATTTTCTTAATGTAGGTATAAGATCCTGGAGTCGATGATGGAAAGTGAAGGCCTCACGGAAGAACAGGTGAGCTTTGTTGTCTCTGATGTTGACTCTATCCTAACAGATAACTATTGAGCAAATTGTCACGTATCATTAAATTAAAATAACCGAGTTATGATAACCTCAAATAACTTGTCAGTAGATGTGTACTTTACTACCGACCTGTTCTTTTTCTTCTCAATTAGTTGAATGTATATTTCCCACTTGAATAAACAATAGCGGTTTTTACGTCTTGAACCAAATAATTGTTTTACCTTTTTACCATAGCCTACTCCTTGTTTGTGTCCATGTGGAGAAGTGATAGAGCAAGTTTTGTTATTTAGGCAGCTACATCTCACCCAGTGAACGCATCACGGATGAAGTGCCGGTACGCATACAGAAGGCTAGGTTGGCATTTGCCAACTTGCGACATCTGTGGCGCCGTCGCGACATCCATTTGTCTATAAAGGGTCGAGTGTATGCTGCAGCAGTTCGGCCAGTTCTGCTATATGGAGCACAGACTTGGTCATTAAGAAAACAGGACGAAAATAGACTGCCAGTGTTTGAAAACCGGTGTCTACGCAGCATTGCACGAATCTGGTGGGGCAGCCGGATGAACAATGATGAGGTTAGGTGCAGAGTTTTGGGTATCCGCGGTCGCCCACTGGAGCAAGTGGTCGACTTCCATAGATTACGTTGGTTGGGGCATGTGTTACGCATGTCACGAGATAGGTTGCTACGGCGAGTGATGTTCGCCGAGGCAAGTAGTGGACGGAAGAAGGTAAAGGATGGGCAAGCTAAGACCTGGAACGGGAGTATGAAAACCCTGACCAGGGGACTAGGTCACATAGGTCCTGTTAGGCTCCCTGGGTCGAGAAGATCGTACCCGATGGTTAGAAACACTGAATGATATGGCTAGGTGTCGTTAACAGTGGCGTTCGTGCATCTTCTCAATTTCTTCGCAACCATAATTTACTGGAGTTCTCAGTTTTCTCTTTGACTCTACCTTCAACTTTCCTGTTCTTCTCGTATTATTCATCCAAATGGGCAGCCAAAAGACAGCAACCAAAACCGGCTCACGAAAGTGGTTAATGGTTGTTCAAACTGAAACTGAAAACCATGTGGTTCGGTTTGATTATCCTTTAATATATATGAACTTTGCTTCCACCCGGTGGCATAAATCAGCTGCCTTGTGAAGGTGATATAAAATTGTAAAGTATACCAATCTCATGCTAAGTATCCAGCTTACTAGCCATTTCCCCTAGATAACGACTTTTCATTTAGAACATATATATATATATTTAAAAAAATTTCATGGTGATCTAAATAAAATAATAGGCAGTATGGCGAGCAAAAGTCAGACAATAGCACAAGAAGCTGCTTCAACTCAAAAATCGTTGCTAGTTGTGGATGACTTATTTGTCGTACCATAGATGCCGGTTGTGATAGTGGTCGTCCAATAATTCTATTCAGTTTCACCGGCATGCTTCAGGTTCTAGGTCCGAAACTCAAACCGTACCACCATCACCGTATTTCGGAGGCAGGCTCAGTTCTGTCCCGATCCTTTTAAGGACCTTATCCGGTCTGTCCCTCGAATTCCCCAGACTCGGGTTACCTGACTTTTCACTGCGTAACAGTGGTTCCGCGTTTTTTTGGATATTCACCGCGTGCGCTGTTCATCACCCCTGTGTGGAATAGGTGTTACATTTGTAGTACCCCTATGCCTACTTTGCAGCCATCGAATGCTTATTTGTTTTCTGTGTTCGGCTTATCGCGCTCGGTCTCAGCGAGTCAAAAACATCAAGCCGCGTAAAACTACCCTCGGCACTCGTTTCGCAATGCACCGTAATGTAGATCGACGTTTTGAGTTGGCCTTTGCACTCATTGCAGAAGTTATTTGATTGATTGATGTAATCTGCACTACTATCGTACGGGTATCAAAGTTCAACGTGTTCTAATTCATCTCTAAAGCGCTCTCTGACTGACCCAAACTCGTTACTCCAGACGCGTTTCTGTTTGCTCCCGAGGTTTCATTTACGGACTCGGATTTTCTTTTAACCTTTTCTCGTTTGTTTTGTTG